AAAATCACTAATGACCCTGAAACCGCTTTCGTCAAAAAATGCGATTTCAAGAATCGTCGTCAAAATTGTCTTCAAACTTCACCAGCGATAAAACCTCAGTTTAAAAGTTAATGACATTCAGCAAAGTCCTTTTGAACGCCCGTCTTTTTAATAAAAAAGTTGGATTTTATACATCATTGTTTGCCTACGCAGGGTTGTTAATAAATATGTTGTGTACTGCAGTTGTTGACAGTTGTTGAAACAATTATTCTGTGTAATTTTTTTTTTTTTTCAAACAATCAGAACACACAAAACATTGGTTTTTTGGGGGTTGTTGGGCGAAACAGGTTTTAGGGTCGTAGCGTTTCAACGGTGATATTTTCATCTAAAAGTAGTTTCTGATATTGGCTTTCCAGTCATTACTATTTTTGGTGTTACATATTTTTTATATGAATATTGTTTTGCTTTTGGCTTCCGCTTTTCTGACTCTACGTGTATCTCAACAATTTGAAAGTTCTGCTGACCATACAAACGCTTATCCATTAGTGGGGGTTACAAATTGTTTAGATGGACTTAAAATAAACAAGTATTTAAACAAAACTGTAATTAGTTTCCTGCTTTGGCAAATATTTCAATCTTATGCATTTATCAGGCAACGGTTGAATGGTATTTTCCTTTTGTCTCTATTTCCCTGGTTTGGCAATATTTCATTGTTTTTTTCTACCAAGCAACGGTTTACTGTGTCATTTTCTTTCATCTCATATTGTCTTTATACGCGTAATCAAATTGCGCTAGGCTGAACAACTTGAGACAGTTTCGTGCCATGAGGACACGGGTACTCGAACCTTTGCAAAGTAGACAAAACATTACGTATCGGCCACCCGATTGACCCTCGCCTACCTTTAACCTAATTCTTTTAGCCTCACCGTATCTAGGAAAACTCTGCCCTATTTTTATCACTTGCTATCCTAATTACCTCCTGTTCATAGTCATAGACAAAAAAGTAAGTATCGGCCTCCCTCTCTCGCGTCCTTCAAGCTATTCATTTAGCATCACCGTATCTAGGAAAACTTTGCCCCTGTCAGTTGCTATCATAATTACCTCCTGTCTATGGTTAGGTACACGTCCACACTGGGAGTGAACTGGATTTTCCAGGTTTTATTCTTTCAAAACGCTTCCACCGAGCCTTTGCCAAACACCACGGCAAAAACTCGGCCTTATACTGTTTGTTGGAAACATTGCTGCGTTTGGTATCCTTTTGCCAAACACTCGGAATGCCACTAGGCCTAAAACAAATTGAAGTCAAAGTTGGATATGAATATTATTATTATTTTTTTTTTTTATTTCTCTCCATATGAATAGATAAACTTACGTTATAACATTATAAACCCACAACAAGCAAAGACACAAAAAAGCACTGGAGAAAAACATATGTGGAGAAGGCAAGACCTTGGATTAAAACGAATGTGAAGTGAGGAAAAATTAACAGTAAAACAAAACTATAAATAATTACCAAAGATAACACACACACAAACAAACACTTATATTCAATTATTATTACACTTATTAAAATTAAGTAATTTTTACTGCAACTGTACTCAAGGAGAAAACTGTTGACAGCGTAATCAATGAACGCTCTACACAATGCTAAATAGCGCTGGCACATGTATGAAATCCTGGTGTGCCCACTATATCTCTTGATGAGACACTGTAGCAGACATTTAGTTCACTTTTCAGATACTTCCTGCAAAGGCTATGAACTTATTTTGTTTTATTTTTTCTTCTATCAAGCAACGGTTTACTGCATCTTTTTCTTTCATCTCACATTGTCTATTTGTGCGTAGTCAATTTGCGCTAGGCTCAACAACTTGAGACAGTTTCGTGCCATGAAGACACGGTTACACGAAATTTTGCAAAGTAAGAAAAACAATAGGTATCGACCTCCAGATTGACCCTCACCTCCTATTGGCTGATAAATTTACCCTCAATGTATCTAGGAAACCTTTGCCTTGTGATTATCATTTGCCATCTTTATCATATCTAGTTCTGTGTGAAATACAATTCTACTCTGGGAGTGAACGGGATTTCCCATGTTTTATTTTTTTTTCAACAAGCTGCCACCACTCAGTATGCCACTAGGCCTGAACAAATTTAAAACCCAGGTTAAAACGAATTGAAATTTTACTTTTCAGCGACTTTTTTTGCAAAGGCTAAGTATTTGTTTTCAAATGTATCACAAAATAGTTTTAAAAAAATCGCAACCCGAGCTAATCTGACTTTTAGCCTCGAGCCTTGCGCATCTTTTGATACCAAAAACATAAATATCGGACATCGGGTTGCCGGGCAACGATAAAAATTCCGGCGCTACGCACCCTGAAAACTGAATTTCATGCATATGAGTAATTAATAGGCCATAATTCCAAAACGCTTTGACCTATAGGCAAGACATTTCTCGGGTATGTTAATGAAGATTTGTTCTTTGCATGAACCGACTTTCAATATATTTCGTCACTCGATTGTCAAGATCTTAGGGGATTCCCCCTCCCCCTTGCCTGAGAGATGATCAAAATAGCCGGGCCCTTAGGGTTAAAGAGTAGAGACAACATATGCACAACTATTTGTTCCCGTATATCCTAGCTATTATACAAAACCATTGCCTTTTTACATATGCCGTTGGTAAGTTTTGCCATATTGTAAACTTGCCATAACTTTGATCCTCGGATCCCGTGTTGTCTCCTCTTTATTGTAATGCCATGTCTGTTCTGACTTTCCATCTTTCCCACGGCTACCGGGTCATTGGCCTGTATGTTATTGGACACGTGTATCGAGAAAGGGTATTTAGGGTGTTCGCAGAGGCAGGAACACGTAGAGCTACTCATCGTAGCTTCGGCAATTTCATTAAAAATTAGGAGGAATGTCACGTGAGCTAATTGAAATTGTCGAATTAAGATGTAGCACGATATGGGACGGTGTCCCCTTAAAAGCTCAGACCCAATACAAACCCTAGACTATTGTCTACCTAACACATGGACTGAACATTTTCAATTATATTTTGAATTTGCCGGCGTAGGCAATTTCGAGCCCATTTACTGACCTGCACCATATGCATGGTGAGTAAAAAAAAAAAGCAGAACCCAAACCCCCAAAAATATATTTTATATTTCAAAAAAAAAATTGTAGCACCAAAGATAATGACTCGAAAGCCAATTTGATAAGCTACTTTTAGATGAAAAAAAAAACACTATTGAAATTGCTCAATCTGGTCAAAGAATATCACCATTTAATCGCAATAACCCTGAAACCTGTCAAGTCCAACAAAAGCAATTCATTGTGTGTTTTGATTGTTCGCTTAACCCTGATTAGGCAAACATATCATTCATAAAATCCACTTTTTTTTTAATACGGGCCTTCAAAAGGACCTTGTTGAATATGTGTACTTTTAAACTGAGGTTTTATCGCTGGTGATGTTTGAAGACATACGATTCTTGAAATTGCATTATGGACGAAACAGGTTTTAGGGTCATTGTGTTTAAATGGTCATTTTTTTTAACGGACTAGCAATTTCGGTAATTTTTTATCTAAAAGTAGCTTATGAAATTGAATTTCCAGTCATTATTATTTTTTGTGCAACACATTTGTGTTAATATGAAATATAATTTTGGGGGTTTGGGTTCCACTTTAATTTTTTGGACTCCCCCTGTACAATTCAGCGTAACCTATAAGCATAAACTAATGAGGCCCCCTTTAATGGTGAAATTATTCCAGTAAACATTCCGTCCAACAACCAATATGTATCCATAAAAAGACAGAAAATGTCAAGGATTTATCTCTTACGAAGCAATTTACAATGCATCATACCTATGCCTATAGAGCACAACTATCAATAATTCAAGAAAATGCACTTATAACTATACTTTTTAAATCTTCAATTAGAATTGAAGAAAACAATATTCACATTGCTTAGAAATTAAAAATCACAAGGGAGAAAATCAAAAGAAAAAAATATGTACAGTATCATTATCTCAAATACAGGTTTTTCCGACTATTTTGAAACGTTTTTCATTTTAATTCACCAACTCTATTATTATTATTTTTTGTCCGACAGTAATTTTAAATGTTTTTACCTAAACCAAGTTAATCATTCATTATTCGATTGCAAAGTTTGGCCAACCTATTTAAGTCCTGGCTCAAAAATATTCGTCAAAACCATTTGAATTTGTCTCGGCTATTGCCGAATGACAGCATTGAGAGGTCAAATTTATCTTACGTCAATCATTTTAAAAGTCTTGTTAAGCTAAGAAGTCTGTTGTGAGCTAAAAGCATTATTTTTGTCTTGTTTCCTTAAAATGGAATATGACGAAATTGAACAAAGTTCTAATTAAACTGTTTGACATGAGACATACTTAATTTCGAATAACACGGTTCAGCGTATACAAGAGGAAACCGTATACCCAGGGACGAATATGGGTGCGCATGGTTTGAATTTGCTTGAACTAAATTTTAAATTTAAATTTAAAATTGCATGGCAAAAGACAATTCACTATAACGTATAGGAACATTTATTAGAAAATTCAATATCGACGTTGCTGAACGAAATTGAATATTATAATAGGTGGATTCGAATAAAAACAATTTTAACTGCAGTAATGGTTCTGAAACCTGTCATCCAGCTTAGAGTAACAGACTAGCACAATACATTTTTCGAAACAATTTCGCATTTCAATTTTCGTTTGTTCAGCTTGGATTTTTTTTAGGTTAAGTGGGTTGCAGGAGGTAAAATAAACCCACCGGAGACCCACCCAGAACCCCCCCCCCCCTCATAATACCCATAGGCATAATGAAAAACAGGACCTCAGACTAGCCAATAATCTGCCATAGTATTTGACAAAACAAGGTAAATAATACTTAGAACTGTCACTGGTGATATCTAATTAAAGCTTAATTTAACCTCTTACACTATCCGCTCAATTGTGGCTGGATTCACAGACGTCTTTTGGTGATTTCTCCTTTCAAAGATGATCACCCTTGGAGCAGTCAGTTGTTGACTCCATTGCAATAAAGAGCGACTGTTTTGTCCGATTTCGCCCCAAATGTCACAGAGATATATGTGCAGAGGTACGACCCTACATTTCTATCTACCGGCACGTAAATGGGCCACTAAATGGGACTCGGCTCAGACGTGAATATGCAATGTAAGTAGTGTTATCTTACATACAGTTTTAATTAAAAGTATTTCATTTTGTAATGAAAAATATTTCATTTTGTATATTAATTTAAGTCTTACTCTTAGCATTCTTAACATTGAAATAGTAGTAGTAAATTTGTAAATTTGTGACTGCGGCAGCAAAGCGTATAGGGACGAAATATGGCAAGGTGGGCAGTGTGTGACGCATGACGTGACAGTCGGACAGCACAAGGTACGCAATCCCAGGACTACTAAGGTTGTATGGTTTGCTAATAGTCACAGTTTTTCTCATCGTTTCAAAATGACTATACTGCAACTTCAAACAGTATTTTTTTTTCCAATTTTTATGAAATTAATTATATGATTTTTAACAGTAGTTTTGATTAAAACTTTCTTTTAACTTGACTTTCTTTTAAATTTCCCAGTTTAGTGCCGTAGGCCCACTTGATTGAACCGGAAACCAACCCAAACCAACTCCGTAATCTTTTCTGAAAACCTATTTCCATCACCATTTTTAAAACTTTGTTATTTATATTTTAATTTATAACCACATGGATCTATAGAACTAAAGTTCAATGTTCTATTTAATGGAGGTAAAGTAATATAAGCACATAAGTCCTTCGTCAGTAAATCTGTAGATCGAATGCACAATCTGAACCTGTAATTAATTAACTTGATTATGTTCAACTTTGGTCACAACACCCACTGCAGGAAAGTTGCGTATACATGTCCTATGCAAACATCCTTTTTGGTTATAAGTATTACTAATAGTGCTGCACAGATAAACAAAAACAAAAAAAGACGATACCATGTTTTTGGGTAATATTTTGAAAAGATGCATAATTACAATTATCGTCTGATATGTTTGTCTTAGCAAAAGTGCACTAATAACGAGCTACATGCATAAGTAACATGCTGTAAGCGATATCAAATGATTACTGCTCAGGAATTGATACATAGTGTATGTTCTTCACATCAAATAAACCTCAGTAAAATAATGGTTGTGTCCAGTCCGCTTGGTCTTGTGATCATACCTTGATCACGCCACCCTATGTGGCGAAGTTCTATGATGACTGGCTATTCAGGAGGATGCCATGGATCTTGACTAGACACAAAATAATAAAATTTGTGGTTACATTACAGGGGATGTTTTGCCCATTGCAACTAAAGCAATGCTTCTGAACTTCTCATAATCCAATGTCAAGGATTTGACGGTACACCAAAATAGAGGTAAGTATTTACAGTGTAAGTTAAAGCATATGCATTTTTTCGCAGCAGGAAAGTATGGCACATTGCAATGTTACTAGGAGACACATTAACCTCAACAGCCCCTAGCTCCTAGGCTATTTTTGTACAGAACCTCCCTGCATCCTTCAAAGTTCTGCATGAGAAACTAGTGAAAAAATGTTTGTTTTTCATTTTCAGAGAACATAACAAGTCCCCTGTTTACTACGAAATTGGCGCGGCTCCATCATCCAGGGTTTTGAAGAATGTGGTGGAACTTATTTCATTCGTGCTGTGACGTTGTCACAAACATTTCCTAATGCAGGAATTACTTCACATTGACATTTATATTGTTTGATAATGTCCAAAGAGAGATTCGTCTCAAATACTAAAATTCTTCCTTATTATAAGGCCACAGCAGTGCATGCTCAGCTTCCTGAAAAAGATGGTTTTCCCCGATTTTGAAATCTAAAGTGTTTTCTTTCTCAAATTTCCCACCGCTACACAATTTAAAATGTCCTACTTCTAGACGTGTAGTCATGGTAGTTATCCTGTAATGTTGCGGGGGAATTTTCCCGAGAAAATGTTCCTAAATGACATCAGGATTTTACAGGATATCCACACGTCTAGAGGTATGAATCTAATTCCCACCCCTGCTTTTCAGTCAAGTAAAACAGTATATAAAGCTTCCATATAGTTAACATTTTAGGCAACAAGACATTTTTCCCCGGGATATTTAGCGCATATAGAGGAAGTCCAGTAGAGGGTGAGTCAAAAAAAAAAGGGAAACCCAAATGAAACCCAGATGTAGAACATAAAAGCCCAATTAATAAGCTGTCTTTTAGTACAATGATCATTCAAATCAGTTATGTACTTTTCGAGTTATATAACTGTAAACACAACAGTTTCAAAATTGTGTCCACCGACCACATAAGGTACTTGATATTTCAGCAAAATGTAACCATGTCGTATCATGAAAACTATATCACAATAGTCCCATAAGTCTCCGGGTAGCCAAGTAGAAGGCAGGGCAAGACTAAATACTCCTGAAATTAAAAAGCATCTTGTTTTAACATTGGAAGCAGAGTGTGTTTAATTAAAGGTTATGATAACTGCCAGTGATCATGGTTATGAGAGTGTTCTGATGTGTTCTTTTTCGTTTTGTTGAAATATCACTTACCAATATTGTGATCCGCGGACAGAATAATAAAACTGTGTTTGTGTTTAGATCTTGAACGCTCTACATGCAAACTTTCCTTAAAAAATAGGGGGTGCCATTTGGGTTTCCTTTTGTTCTTTACTCACCCTAGTCAATGCATAAACAAAATGTGTTACATAAGTCTCTCTAGCTGTGCATTCTGTCTACCGTTTTGACACATGACTTCTCTATTTCAATATAAGACTTTTAAGAAATGCGAGTTAAAACTTAACATGTGAAGTAGTGAATATCTCACATTTGCCTTCAGACATTTTTGTTGTGTGAAACATGAGTGAAAATAGCATAAATTCCTGCACTCGTGGTCTATTTTCAAGACCAACAGTGCAAATCGGTGGGAAAATATTTGCATTGAGGACGCACAAAGAATGCTTTGATCATCCAACTATAGTTGTTATTGTAACTGTTGATCCATTACTTCTCAGCTGATGCTTTAAGCACCATCTTCCTGAATTCTGGACTACAAAACAACACATTATGGATCGAAAACCACGGGGCACTGATGGTGAAGCAGGTCCTAGCAGGCCATCACGTGCACAGGCCACAGGAGTATCTGGCGGTATGTATGGTTGTATTTCATTCCACTTTCTCCTGCCTTTTTTGCATGGAAATAGAGGCATGAAAATGACTAATACTCCTGCAAATTATAATGACGGAAAATGGGTTGTTTGGGAGACAGGGAGACATTGGGAGACATTCGCTATAAGACTCAGACGTTTATTGTTATAGACGCAGTGGACTACAAAACCCCCTTGCAGCCTTTACAAAGACTGTTATTAATCTCCCAGAGAGAGTACAATTTTAAAAACTAATAATTATGTTGGGAATTCACCCGCTGCAAAAGATGTTACTCGTGTTCCATAAATGAGATTAATACTAGATCTAGATTAATCTTTTCTTTATCCTGAATGTGCACAAGGTAAGAAACTTTTGTTGACAGGTTGGCTCAAAATTTATATGTAAATACGTATTGGCCGGGCAAAACAATCGCTCCTGCGCCAGAGTGAAGACAAACGGGTTTACATTTTGTTTTCGATTCCTTTTTTTTCTGTATATCAGACCTTTGAAATATGGCTAAATTTTGGCAAGCTCTGGACACAAGTGCACCTTTACAAGAGAGCAATTGTAATCTTGTTAATTTAGGAAAGTCATGCAGGTCTACACTCCGAAAGGTTCCGGGTCATGTTTGACCCAAAATCCGGGTCCTTTGCGGCCTGACATTATTTCAGGTCAAAAAGACACCTTTTCGGAAAACATTACACTTCTTTTATTCATTTGCCGCATAAATTTAACCCGGACAAGTTTGAGACCCACCCCTTACAAAAATGTCCAATGGGGATGCCTTGAGTTTCCCATGGGGTCCCGTGGGTGTCCCATACTCATGTCACCCATGACATGATGACGATTCACAATAAAAATTAAAAGGTTGATCAGGATGCGCACGATATATCGTAACCTTACACAGGTCGACTGCGATTGATTCTAGCCTGTCAGGATACGTTTCGTCGCGCGGTCTACTCTTAAGCCCGGTTCATACTCGGCGCGGAAGCGAACAAGAACGCGAATTTGTGACGTCAGGGCAGGTTTTCGCACTGCAAATTCGCACAAGTTGAACACAATTCAACTCCGGCGAATTTCGCAGCGAATACTCCCCTGACGTCAAATTCGCTTCGCATTCAAATTCGCGTGGAGTATGAACCGGGCTTTACGGCTGTTATATTTTTTGAGGGCCGACTGATTTTGATCGTCTTAATATCGTCGCAGTTACCCGCAGATCTCAAAATATCGGCGACTGATATGTTACCGACTGTCGTAGCTCACGCGCAGCTTGATCCTGAAAAATCAGTCGCCGACTGCCCTGTGTCATCGCAAGGTCGGCCTGGGGGAGGCTCAAGGGCAGATTATGTTATTAGTTTCGCTTAATCATCCGGTTTTATTAACATTTTATACAGAACTATAAAAGTTAGCAATTGGAAAAAACAATGCGTCAAATCTTTGACCGCATACTGTGATGTCGGCAATTTGGCATAAAAACTCCTGGTAGGTTGGGTTATTAATTTTTTTTTTTGGCTTATTTTAACGGGATGTGGATTATCTTTAATATAAGTTAGTAAGCCTATTTTGTTTTCCCCCAGAACCATGTTTGGATGACAACACTTTGCGCGAGGTCGCAATTAGGCTTGGCAGTAATTGGGTTCCCCTGGCATTTCAGCTGGGCTTTCAAATAATACAGGTTGTGACTTACGAGAAAAACTACTCACACGATATCGTTCGGCAAGGTTTCCAAATGCTCGTTAATTGGAAACTCGCCCAGGCCACCAGTGTTGAACAGCAGATGACCACTTTGCGCACAGCATTGGAGAAGATCGGAAGGGCAGATATCGCCGAATTCCCCCAAGGTGAATAATTGTCTCTGCCCATTGTATGCGTAATGTAAAGAGGAATTAAAGACAGACATTACTTGCAGAAATTGAATATATGTTTTCAGCAGCATTGCACAAATTAGTCAAAAAATACGTCATTTTGCTCTTCTTCTGAGTGGGTTTTCTGAATGTAGTTGCATGTCTTGGATTGTATTTTTTTAAAATCAATGAAAATGCAAAAAAAAAATATAATAATAATTGTATCGTAATTTTTTCTGTCTGTGCAAAATTTAAGTATAGAAAGCAACCTTGGGTATGATTTTTTGATTACATTTGCAACATGTTATCAACAATTCAATGGGGACCACTTAGGTGTTACTTTATATCATTTTATTTGTGATTTCTTGAGTGCTGTCCCTAAAAGGCAGCAACACACACTAATTTTAAATTTGGAATCTCATGCTCTGTATACATTTTCAACTTCAGGGCGTTCTGAAAATTTGGTGAATGTAAACCCCTCCATTTTTGCTAATTTACAACCAAAATTTTCCCCGGATGTTTACACATTCTTCTAGGTAATAAATTAGGCTGAGAATACCGTTTGTTTCATCGAGATTGCTTTTGTAAATCCAAAGATATGTTTGAATAACGACAAAGCCAAGAAACCCATTTTGTGCCACTTTCTGTGAAGCAGTTAAAATCAGTATAGTCCTAGTATGAAACCAAATCACTTTACTGCTAGTGATTTGAACATTTTTAAGCAGTGTGCAATATTTATTTGTTTAATTGAACTTTTCATTGAAGTTTTAAAGAAGTGAGCTTGTCTGCACTGTTAAATTGTTTCAACATAAGAACAAAACCCTATATTGTCTAGTGAATGGAATGTTTGTGTTACACCCACTGGGATAATCTTATCAAAAGAGCCATACTGGCATAGTCTGGTCTTTGAAGCACTCGCTTCCTAAAAGTGGTACACCTATTTTTTTTTTTTTGGGGGGGGGGGGCTTTGCGGTTATTCAAACATATCTCTGGATTTACAAAAGCAATCTTAATTAAACAACGGTATTCTCAAGCTAAATCTATAACCTTGATTTCACCATTATTTTCAGGACTCCCTGTACTGCGTTTTATTCGGACAAACCCTTTTTTGCCCCTTTTTTGGAAAGGACACGTTTTTCGTGATGAAACTCAGGGCGATATAAGCATGTTGTTTTAGATTCTGATTTGCAAATTCATAGAAAGCTTAAATGGGAGTACCACTTCAGTTAAAATGTTGATATTGATTGAGACCATTAAAGGACCTTCAAACCCCAAATGTACCACCCAACAACTGAATGGGAGCGTAATTAAGCAACCACGTTAATGGTAAGAATAATTTCATATGGTGAGAGATGGTCACCGGTTGAACTAAATCTTCCCATTGCAACGAACGTTGAACATTCAGTACGTGTACTTGTTTTATACAACGCCTGAATAAAGCCTTGTCTTCTTATAGGTAAACACGTACTTGACACCTTATTAGAGGGTCATAACTTTGAATCCGATCATCTTATGGTAACGTCATTTATATAGACCTTTGGGGAATATTTTTAGCTACAATTCGATACCCAGTTTGCTACCAAAGACTCTCAATCGTACAACATTGACAATGGTTTATGAAAAATGATGCAGTTTGAAAAAAATGCAATTGCAAAGAGTACGCGAGTGGACATTGCTGTAAGACAATGTCACAACTGCATAGAAACGAACAGCAGGGAATATCGATCGCACAGTGTTTTCATGCATGGGAGCACGCGAATTGAATTATCCGCGCTTTGTTGGGGCACTGTGCAGTCGATAGGGGCAAATTACAGGCATGTGTGGTTACGCTTGGCAATTTAACCTTTCTTTAAATCGTTAAATTTGCACATTTTCAAACTGCATTATTTTGCACAAACTGCTGTCAATCTTGAACGATTTACAGTCTTTGGTAACAAACGGGGTATCAAATTGTAGCTAACAAAATTCCCCAAAGGTCTATATAATTGACGTCATAATCAAATTCAAGTTTTGACCCCTTCAATGAGTGTGGTATGTTTTTTTTTAATAACACATGATCAACTACCCACCAATCAGGTCACGGGGATTTATTCAGGCGTTGTATAATACTACGTTTCTGTTGATCAGCGGGTCCTGATTGACTATGTTTGTTGTGAAATATACTGTATTTTGAAGTTCTAACAGATCGAATGATCAAATTTTTGTTTCATATTTTTCCTACTAAATTAGTTATATCACAAACCGAGGAGACCGCTGGATCAGGTATGTATCGGTACATTTTGCGCCTCTTAAATTCTCAAAGCATCACAATACTAGAAAACAAATGATCCCTGCAATGTGGAGGCTATTTAGCCTTAATGTTCCATTATTCATTATTTACCTAGAGTTTGTGTAGGATTGTGGCTGAGTGTAGAACTCAAAGAGTACATGAAGTGAATTTTACACGTGTGCATATTTGTAGCAAATTTCCAATTCTCTGAAATGTATTCAAAGTATAAAGACATCCCTTTTTCGCAAAACAAAATTCCATTATTTTAAACATATAAAATGTCTCATGCTTTTTCTTACAACCGAGGGCGCTTTTGCCGTTATGTCTCTACAGGAACACTTTTTTCGAATTTTGTTATGGTGGTAAACCGAAATTGTGCATTTTAAATACATTTACCCTTTTTTTCAGAAAAAGAATCAAATTTCATGATGAAACTCAGGGTTATTGCACATGGTTTTACACGACAAAGAATAAGCATGTTTTGTATGAGACTCTGATTTGCAAATTTTTAGAAAGCGGAATTGAATACAGAAGGAAATAGGAGTACCACTTGAGTTAAAATGTTAAGTCTGATATAAATTGAGACACTAAAAGACCTCCAAACCCCGAATGAACCATCCAATTATTGAATGGGGGCGTAAGCAACCACATTAATGGTAAGAATAACTTCATGAGGTGAGAGATGGTCACCAAATTGAACTAATTCATCCCATTGCAACGAATGTTGAAAATTTGGTACATGCACTTTTTATCCAACGCCTAAATAAACCTTTGTCAAACTCGTACTATAAGGTACAGCATCCGAGCCCATCCGGGCTGCGTTATAGTGGAATCGAATCTCTTCTTTTTTGTCACAATCGTGATGTGCATTTGGACCAATAATACACTGACACGTGATCAACTATCCTCCAATCAGGTAACGGGAATTTTTTCAGACGTTGAACTATGCCACATATCTGTTGATCAACTGGTCCTGATTGACTGTGTTTGTTGTAAAATAGAATGTATTTCGAACTTCTAACAAATTAAAAGATCAATTTTTTTTTTATGTTTCTCCTACTGAATTAGGTATATCACATACCAAGGAGACTGCTGGATCAGGTAGGCCTATGTATCGGCAAATTTTGCGCTCCTAAAATTCTCAAGGCATCACAATACTGGAAAACAATTGATCCATGCAACGTTGTGGCTTTTTAACCTTAATGTTCAATAATTCATTATTTACCTGGAGTGTGTGTAGGGTTGTGCTGGATGTAGCGCTGATGCTGTCAGTGTCCGTGTAATGAATTTTACAGGGTTGCATTTATTTGTAGCGAATTTACAATTCTCTGAAATGTGTAGAAACTGTAAGACATCCATTTTTGGTAAAACAAATTCCACTATTCTAAAACATATAAAGTGTTCTTGCGCTCCTGCCGTGATGTCACTTTAGGAACACAGTATTTTCGATTGGATTTTCTTTTTTAACCCAAAATTGTGCTTATTAACATTTGGGCAGAAACTTTTCTTAAAGTCTCACTGACACATCAACGAATCGCTGAAACCAGTATAAGCCACGGCAAATCCTCAAATCATGGCGACTGTTTATGTTTAATGCATTACAGATATCAATAAAATATACTAACTGCTCCTGGTGTATGATAAAACCATAATTATGGCGATTCAGTTCACAGTTTGCTAATACATTTATTTCACCTTTTGTTTTTACCCGTTTTTGGGAGACCATGCATAATCATTGTGCAGATGAGTTGCGGAGAAGAAGCTTTTGTCATTCCAAAATCGATCGGCTTGAGTTTGTAGCATGGCGTGCCCTCGTTTAACATTCGATGTTTTTTCTTAGTTTTCATTCTTATAAATTTCTGTTTATGAAAGAACGAGTTTTTGATATGACTTAGTTTATGATATGGATTTGCAGATCCAGAGACGACAGTAAGCAATGTCAGGCAGGCTCCAGTGAATCCACAACCACCTTTACAAGAGTACAGGATGGACCGGAAACCAAGGGGGCTGTGTTTGATCATCAACAACAACACATTTGACAAACCTTTGAAACCCCGCCCAGGAAGCGAAATAGACACAGGTTTGAAATTCTGCTAATCTGTAGTTTCGTAAAGGTGTGTCGGTGAAATATTTGTGGCTTATATGAGGATAGGTTTATATTGAGCCAAAAACCTGGCAGAAATGTTCGATTTATCTTCTATAAAATAAATGGATTGAAGATCGAGTTTTACAGTTTAACTGCACATAGGTAAACATTTTACTAAGATGAATTGTGTCTCTTGCACAGACATACATTTACACACTTTACTGTTTGCTTCAATAACGGAATTCGAATTCAAAAGGGGAAACTGAGGCAGACAAACTCAAAAAAGTACTACTTCAACTGGGGGGGGGGGGGGCATTAGAGGAAGGAAACATTTTTACTTCCTTGGTACACTGTTGTACCGGCAAAATACTTCATTTTTTAGTGAACCTTAAACAAATATGCAACAGAATTTTTTTTCACCACAGTGCATTTCTCTAAGGTCCCTAAAATGACATACCAAAAGTCTTAACAAATCCAGGTGATGGAAATTTGCCTAATTTGCATTAATCCAAAATGGACGCAAATTGTAGGACTTTCGCACTGATTTGGTCATATTTCATTTACTAGGTAGCTTTTTAAGGTATTTTAACCAACAACTTTAGTCCTTTTACATTGATTTACTCATTATTCTAGACCTTGGTAACTTTCAATATTCCTATTTTCCCCAAATTTGCGATATGCCGATAATAATTTGTGTAAATGTCATTTATTAATTTGGATAGATTAAAGTTAAAATTATGGCTGTCATGTGTGGACATGTCACGATTAAACTTTCCCTGATAATCTAAGTTCAGTCATGTACATAGATAGATTTCACACCATGGTGCATTGCTGTAAGGTTCCTTAAAAAAGGGAAGAAATCCAAGTGGTGGAAATATGCCTAATTTGCATAAATTCAAAATGGCAACTAATTACATAATTTTTGATTTGGCCATAACTCTTGTCCTGCATTGCTATTTGTGGTACCTTGAACAACAAAGACCTTTGACATTGATTTCAGCATCATTCCAGTCCTGGGTACCTTTTGAGATCCTATGTTTCCTATGGGGTATACTATTTTTTGTAAGGTTTCTAGCTCTTGTCAAAGTTGCTATAAATGTTGGAAAATGTGATATCCCTGTGTTGCAGAGCGAGCCCTTGCGCCGCTCTACTCAGACCAAGTATCAAGGAATAACTCAAGAGAACAGAGGATTCAACACAGGATTTAACAATCACAAAAATCAAATTATATATTACGGGAAAGACATAAACCAAAAACCGCAAATCTCAATCCGAAAATACGTGGGCGAGGGTTTTATACCCCTCCCACATGGGTGTAAGCCCGGAATTGGTTTGTAAAGGGAAAAAAATTACAATTTGCATAATTCACCTAGCATCCACCTCCGAAGTTACATAACACTATACGGCCGTACACATTTAGTGATTTTTAAATCATCTCATAAAATAAAAGGAATAATTTTAACAGTCTTGTGACACCCTGTACATGAACTCATTTTAGGAACAAAAAATCCCTACTTTAAATCCACGAGTACACTGCATAGGGATATCACATTTTGCAACACGTATGCAACTTGGAGATGAGCCAAAAACCAAACAAAAAATATTGTACCCTATTTTTTGATATTTTGTAGAAAACATGTTGGGGTTTGATTTTCATCCAAGTTTGTCTCAATGTCGGGTGATCCACTAGATCAAATTTAAGGTCTAGATCAAATATAGGTCAAAATATCATTTTGATATGGTCATTGGTATGGTATGGTCATTTAAAAAAAGGCAGCAATGTCCATTTTGACCAAAATTGCCTGGGCGGTAGCGCGAAAACCGTTTGTCCAATGGCGCTACAACTTATTTTTTTTTGGCTTTTCAGCCGAAATTTCCCAATAAACTAAATATGAACCAATTTGAAAAGGTTGGGGTTTAAAATTTAAAAGTTTTGGGGGTGATTTGACACTGAACGACCCCAATGTCAAATGACAAAATGTTGTTTAAAGCAACCCGAAAAGCTTCTTTTTTAAGAATGAATTTTGCCATTATTGGATAGAGTTTACCTCCCTAAGATCGGTGAGATTTTTCCCAGCTACCATGTGGCGGCCGTCTTGGAATTCAAAATGGCGGCCATTTTGGGCTGAATTTTTATCTAACTTCGGACCGGATTGTCATATGAAGTTCATTCTGATGGCAAACCATATGTTTTTGATACCAAGGAACCCGAGAAAATCATTGTTGATGTCGTATACTCCCAGTGGAGTACCCCATCAACAATGATTATAATTTATGTTCCTTGGTATCAAGAACATGCAGTTTGCCACCAAAATGGACTTTATACGACATTCAGGTGCAATGTTATTATAAATAAAATCCAAGATGCGGCTATTTTGAAAAATCCAAGATGGCTGCCATCCATCTGGGATACATCATCAGCAAAGGGTCATTAAGAGTACTTAGTATAAAATGTATGGGGTTTGCCACCGAAATTGACTTCGTACGACATTCAAGTCCGAATTTATTATGCAAAGAAGCCTAAAATGGCGGCCATTTTGAAATATCTGGAGTACATCTAAACAATAGTGTACACGGGTTCCTTTATATCAAAAACATGAGGTTTGCCATCAAAATGAATTTTATGTGACAATCAGGTACGAAGTTACACGATACAAATTAGGCTCGAAATGGCGGCCATTTTGCAATCCAAGATGGCCGCCACATGGTAGCTGAGAAAAAATGTCTCCGATCGACTTGGGGGGGGGGGGTAAACTCTTTCCAAATATGGCAAAAATTCCTTCTTAAACAAAAAAAGCAAAAGTTCATAACGGCCTATACTATGTGGCCAAATCATGTAAAAATCATGTAATTAGCGGCCTTTTGAATTTATGCAAATTAGGTGTATTTTCTACCACTTGGATTTTTAACAACTTTTTAGGGACCTTATAGCAATGCACTGTGTTGTTAAATTTTCCGACTTGGATTATCAGGGAAAATTCAACTGGTACATGTCCACACATGGCATCAATTGTTTTAACTTGAGTTTAGGCATATTGATATACGGCATTTATGCAAATTATATGGCATTTGGAATATTTCGGAAACATAGGGATCTTGAAATTTACCTAGGTCTAAAATAATAAGTAAATCAATGTAAAAGGACTAAAACTGTCGTTTAAAGTACCTCAAAAATCTACGTAGTATGAGAAATATGTCTAAATCCATGCAGAAGTCCTAACATATGCGGCCATTTTGGATTGATGCAAATTAGGCATATTTCCACCACCCGGATTTCTTATTAAAGACTTTTAGTATGTCATTTTAGGGAAACGCACTGTGGTGAAACAAATTTTGTTGCAATTTGTTTGAGGTCAAACCTTATATTGCCTGTACTACTGGGATGACATGGTACGCTACGTTGACGTCTTGGACCGGGTTACGTGTAGAGTTTGGGTATTGCACATGCAGGAACGTTTCGCGCATATCATCGGCCCCAAAGTGCGTGAACTTTAATTCCAATTAACGACTTGTATCATCTGTACTCGGGTTTGTACACTTCACAATATAGCTGCTGTTACCAAAATTAGACGAAACAGTCTGATTGGATAAGAATATTACACCTGGCATTTATGCGTGTTTGTGCACGTGTCGCTCGAGGGGTCGAAAGCTTATTCCTCGGTCGTTCTGTATTCGATGCATCATATTATATTCTTATTCGAAAAACAAGATTTTCACATTATATTTTCTAGTTTACCACTGAGTGTACTTTTTCAATTCAAATTCGTCGAAAACAAAAAGTAAAGAAGCGGTCACACATTGGTCAAGCAAGCGAAGGATATCCCCACTCTAATAATGGATGCTTCCCCAGCAATACGGTATACAAATACTGTGTGGATCAGCGTGCACTGTTAAAAATGTCCGTAAATTTACGGACTCCGTAAAGTGAATTATTCCGTATTTTCGCCGTAATTTTACTGACTTTGGTTCTTTTGCACAACCTTTCTTCGGCTATATACATAAAAACAAGCATAAATAACATACTCTTTGTTCTATTTATTAATTACATATGTTTTTTTCATTATCTTAATTAAAATGTTAGTTTGCTCAAAATGATGATTTAAAGCTGCGTATGGCTGCATATGTATTTATACACTTCACATTTTACTCACAAGGCATGAATGTGTATGATCAGTTTCTAGTATTCCATGCTATTTTTCTGAAAACCTATTGGCCGTTCCAGTTTATATTTTTATTCTTGAGTGTTTGGTTTCACGGTGGCAGTGGCACGATGGGCCTACATTGTATACTAAGGCCTGTACTCATATACAGGTTACATGGATTAGGCAAATTACCTGTAATGACATGTCCAAGTTGTTTTTATTTGCACAATAGCACCCTAATGTATTCATTGATTGTTTGTGCATATGCTAAAATTATACCCTACAAGTGTACGTGATTCACAGACCATAATCTTTATAAGAACAACACTTCAAATATGGATTTATTATTTTGTGTAGTTGCTGAGATTTATCATGATACAAGGCTATCAATGAAGAGTGATTGTAATCGTGCACTGCATTCTCTTGAGCTTTAAGGCCACAGAGGTATGAGTGATTATGGTGTAGGCCTAAAGAAAAACATAATAATAAAAACGTATGACAAAACATGTACGTACCTCTGTCGTTCCTTTACAATACAAGATAAAGGATTTTTTTTGGCCAAAAAAAGAAGCATCCATAATCAATATCGTACAGGCATCGATGTGACGTGACGCGCAGGAGATACGATTCAGCGTCATTTACGTCATCATTACGGCAAGGGATTAGTGTAATGAACGCGCACGCGCCCATGGAGCCAGGGCTGGGCTAGCTGGTCTCAAACACTTGTTCAAGTGTCATATGAAATTGTGACTCCTAAAAATCCTGTGCCTCTTACCGTTTTATTGGTTGAACGTTCACAATTCTCACGTAGGCATCAGTATCATTGACATAATAACCTAGACACGACATTAACTGCTTTTACGTTGTAAATTATGTGAGCAAAACAGGCTGTGTCACGCGGCCTGATGCGCGAATTACTATGTGGCTTCAATTTACGCGCATAATTTATACGTATCCCACGAATGTTCAGGCCAATGCACTTGTGCACCACTTAGTTGTTTGTTTCCCGCATGCGTATGGGTTAATGATCTCTATTTACATATATATGGAGATCAATGGTATGGGACCACATGATTCGAAATAACGCGTCACGCCCGTGGAGGGCATTCGCCTAATACGCACAGCATTTTGCTCACAGGCGCAATAGCAAATGTCGTGTCTAGGTTTATTATATGTCCATGGTCAGTATTGTATAGTCCTAAACTCACAACGCAACGTCCCAGGTGCATTCTGTGCGACATCGCGCAATATGCGCGACGCGCGGGCCAATCTCCATTTAAGCAGTTGTTTACATCTTACTCGCGAGCTGGACACTAAAGAAGGGTTGATAAAAAAATTAAGTGAACTTGTTGAACAAAATTGGGATTTTTAACGCAAAATTTTTGATTTTGTATTGATGAATGGGACTAAAAGTGTTTGGTCGTTATTAATCACTCTGTTAAAGACCGGTTGAATTCTGGGTGCTGATAATTTCCCGTAGACGAGTGCACAAACCTAAACTGTCACCTAATCCAAGTTTACCTTATCCTTTTTCCACGAAATTCGGTATTTTTACTGATTGGACCACGAGGAATCGATCTCAGTGAGATTGTTTGTGACAGCAAAATTCCTTGTCCTAAAGGTCATTTTCACAAAAGGGCGAAAGTTATATGTCGCCTTGATAAGGTCTGTCGCCCTATTGTGGACGGAGTTAGAAAAATCTGTCGCCCTATCCTAGCTGTTAGTAAAATAATGATAACTAGAATTGTATGTCTGTCGAAACAGAACACAGGACTTTTTCGCTTTGTTTTATGTGGGAGAATTTCTCCGGACAATTTTGAAGTGATTGCCGTAAACTTCGTTAGAGAAATCAACAGTTGAACAATGTGGCGCTTGGACGGTCCGCGCCCTCACGAACACGTGCGTCGCACACACTTGCAGTTTATGCTTGGATGAGTCGACTCGGTATGTTTTGCTATCTCTCCCGCAACTTGCGCAAGGGTATTTTTTGCCGATGCCGCGTCAACTGTGTGAACAATTTGACAAGCTGGGAACTTGGCACTGTTGAGGCAAATGTTTACGCTATCATTTAATGGGCAATTCAAGATTATATCTGTACGGATTGATTTGTTAGCAATTTTTGAAAAAGGAAAGGTCTTTTCAACGGAACTTCCGGTCTGATAACGTCATACGCCTAAAACTTCGCACACGTCTTAAGTGGGTCAAGGTCATCATACACACCAATATTTAGGCGATTCCGACAAACTTCGCCACAGACATCTAATCAAAATACATTTTTGAACATTTTCAACCTGTCGCTAGAGGGCGCTCGAAGATTGCATGACGTCATCGGTAGATGATTTAAAGAATACTATCAGCCAAGAGACTAACACAGTTGAAAACAAGTTTATATCTATTATCACTTTCAAATAATAAGCCACTTCCGGTTTTGGCCTTTTTCGACCGGAAGCAAGGGTCACATGATTGCACGCACACTGAATGAAGTGAAGACCTCAATCTACTCTACCACGTGCCGGCAACAGAATGCTGCGGACGCGTAGGGTTGATTTCTTATGCATTTTTAAATATGAAAAGTGTCTCAATTGAATTGCCTATAAATAAACACCTGATAACGTCATCATGACATCATCATTACACGGTGTTGTTTGAATTAGGGTCCTTGCTTGGACAAAGAGTGGTGTAAATGAATTACTGGCAAAGAGTCGAAAATGCCCTTTGAAAATCAACATTTTTTTAACATTTGTTGTGTACAAAGTCTCTGGGAAAAATTAAATATTCAAAATTCTATAATAAATCGCGTGATGACGTCAGCATGATGTAATGATTCGGCACACATTTGCAGGTGATGTTCTAAGTATGTGCCAGATTTGAAGGAAAACCAAATTGGTTTAAGGCCAAAAGTGGCGTGTAGAAAAAACGTGTACAAAGTCTATGGGATTTTATGCAAAAAAGAAGTGGAAGAAGAGGAAGAAAGAAAAAAAATCAGAACAAAAAGAAAGGTTTTTTTCGCAAGAATTGCGAAAAAGCCAATGATAATGATATTGATAATGATAATGATAAATACTGAAGTCTTATTTAGCCTTATTTAGTCTTATTTATTAAGATAATAATAAACCATAAATAACAATGCCCCCACAGTGAATATATTATGATTGGCAATGATTTGCCTGATGATCAGGGACTGGGCGGGACAATGGTTACCCGCCGCTTGTACAGAAATTTCCGCTCAATGCAACAGTCATCGTTGAAACTAGAAATGCAACGTTACGGTAAAAATGTCAAATGACACCTGTCAATATCATCTTTCATGTTATTTACAGGTAAATTGGACAAACTGTTCACAAAACTCCATTTTAAGGTGGAAGTGAAGGAGAATCTTACAGGCTCTGTCATGTGCACTCTGTTCCAAGACGTCAGTCAGTCACACAGACACAAAAACTATGCATGTTTTGCATGCTGTATTATGACACATGGGACATTGGATGAAGTATGGGGCACGGATGGCATGCCTCTGAAGATAAATTGGATCCAGGGACTTTTCACGGCAGATTCATGCAACAGTCTTACTGGCAAGCCAAAACTGTTTTTCATACAGGTAAATTGAATATCTTATCAGTGTTATACTTTGTCCTGTAGTTCTAATGCATTGTAGATTTATGTGACGCAAAGTTAAAATTCAATGGAAGTAAATGAAACTAAAATAACATTTCATTTGGAAACATCAGTGTACATGTATATACCTTTGTTCAAGAGATCTGCATCTTTTACTGTTGTTATTCTTGAAAAGGTGTTTTGATATTCATGTTTTATCACACAACCATGCGGAAATAGAATTTTTCATCCCGCATTTGCTTTCTATCAATTCTATGTCTACTGTATTATAATAATAAAAAAATATTGGGTATTTATAAAGCGCACGTATCCACAAGGCGCTACATCATTATTACCCCTGCTCATTGGCCCCATGAAAAACTCCAAATACCATCTCAGCTCCCTGTTAGGCGCAAGGAAGCTAATTCAATCACAATAACTATCTCTGCCCTCACAGTTACCCATTTACTCCTGGGTGGAGAGAAGCAATGAGTGACAAAGTGCCTTGCCCAATTGCACACGCACGTACCGTGACCCCAGGCTGGACTCGAACCCGCAACCTGCAGCTTTACTCACAGACCACGAATCCAATGCCACAACACTCCCACTCTAAATGTATGAAGACTATGCTAATGTCTGTGGCCTGGTTGCTCTTACAAGAGTTAGTTTATGGGGTACTCACAAAAATGGAACAATGGTACCCCACAAGTCAGCATTTGTCAAACGGTACCCCAGAAGAGAAGTTCTAAAAAGAAAAAAAACAATGGATAAAGGGAGATTTGCAAGTGCCCCATAATCTACATAATTATACAAGCATAACATTTACTGTGTGGACTTCCAAACAAAAGATGTCCACATCAACCAGGTTTCAGATACGTTGTGTGGACTTGCCCATGTCCACACAAGGCTTCCCCTTCGTTGTGAAAAAAAAGGTTTAGAGGCATTTGTGGGGTTAGGTTTGTCTGTCGCAAAATGAAGAGAAACACGCAAGGGAATCATATAGTAAAAAAAAATGAATGGGTTGAAAGAGTGTTCACAAGTGTCAGTAAAATGACTTTGACAGGTTTTTATATCAATTTGTTTGAGGGAAATAATTGTAAACCTAACGAGACTGATAAAATCCCCACCGTACTGTAAAAGAAGCTCACCGCAGGGCTGTGCGCTTCGACCTTGATAAACATCTTGCTTCGCGGGTCACACTATGCTTGATCACAGGCCCTGTAAATGGTTCCTTCTGTGTGCGGTATGCACAAGTAATGGATGCATGTACAATCATAGCGCAAATTGTGGTCGGTCCATTTTAGTATTTGTAACAGCTCAAACTGCACAACTAAACTTCACCAAACATATATCGTTCATTATTCACTCTAATATCCTTGTGAACACTGAAAGTTAACCGATCATACTGGTCCAACGCACGGCACCCGATCACAATGAGTTCATATAATCTCCCCAATACAAAGTACAAATTTTTACTGCACACCGTATTGGCTAGGAACCTTATAAATATTCGTGAAGCTTGAAAAGATTTACAGATATTGCAAACACCGGTATTTCAGCTTATGCAAATTGGACGTACCCAGGCCTGTTTTTTTTTTCAATTTCAAAGAGAAATACAGAAAATATCAAAACGATTTCAGCACATTGTTGCATCAATATAAGGGAAACAAAGTCTGAAAGGTGCATGAAGATACAATCTTTCAAACGGGAGAAATTGATTTTCAAAGAATTCGCCCGCAAACATCAACATGTCTTTGTGCATGTTGCTTCATTCTAAAAAATGTATTACGTAACCTCAAAAAATCGGCCTTTGCAACCACATGGCTGTTCAACCGATACATCAATTACCACAATGATAATGATAATAATAATGATTAGAATATAATAATAGTAATAATGTAACTTTCTATAGCGTCGAATCCATTAAAAACAATGCCCTATGGCGCTTTACAATCAACTATTTATATAAATAAAAGGAATACAAATTAAATTTAAAATGTGATTATTTAAATCTCAAAAATTGTGACATAGCACTATAGTAATTAAAACGTCTGAACCACAAGTAGACACGCCCGGACAGAGCAGAAAACAACCCCCTCCCCACAGGTTACGTAATAAAGGACTTAAAAAACCACTTGGGCCACTTCTTTTATTAATATCTTCTGGTCTTCCAAAACACTTTTTTTCCAAATGATGAACTGATAAGCTGCACTAAAACTTTTGACCTATCCTTTGTGTGCTTCTTTAACTGCGCTTTCCCCCTTCAAGTAAAGTTGCCCAAGACGATTTTTAACCCTTGAATTCGATGAATTCTTAGCGTTTGTTCCATTGCATTGATTTGAATGAAATCCAGTTTGTATGGTGGATTGGTTATCTGACTTTAAGAGTTTGAAAATATTCCAAAACTCACATGCAATTTACTTTTATTAATTGTTTTTCGCCTGTTGTAACTTGTAATGTTTTCTTTTCTTTCAAAATACCCATTTCATTGCCCTTGATGGAATGGGCCCGACCAGGACACAACATTCATAAACCGGATAAAGTGCAAAATCTCGCAGGTATTTTGAGGTTTTGAGGTCAAGTTACAGACTCTATTGAATTGCAATGTTGAGGCATCAGTGCTTTTTATAAATATAGGATGTTTGTGGTGATTACACAGCAAGTAATGGGTTCTGTTGTTACTGATGTGTTTTATTCTAGGCTTGTCGAGGCAGCAGCCATCAAATAGGAGTACAAGAAATGGAAACTGATGATCCGGGTGATATAGTTGCTCCCACACCCAACACAATACCCAATGAAGCTGACTTTCTGGTAAGCAACTCCACTGTACCTGGATATGTCTCATACCGTCATCCAAGACAAGGTTCTTGGTATGTCAGTGCGTTAGAAGATGCGATTTCCGAGCATCACAATACGACTGATATGCTAAGCATGTTAATTATAGTGAACCAAATTCTGTGTGATCGGAATGCAAAAACAAACCAGGGCATCGGGAAACAGGTGTCAACACTCAGCTGTACATTTAGGCGTGCTCTGTATCTGCGTAGTTAGGTTAAGTAAATAAAAAAGGTCATAAAAAGCTAGGTGAGATATTACGACCACACAAAACGGACAATTAAATCAGTACCCTATTCTTGCTTTGGCTCAAGGGGACAAGATGGGTGTTTTATTTTCTTGAAAAACAAACAAACCCACAATTAACCACTGTGCTTGCCAGGGTCTAGTGGCCGACTGAAATCTAAAACCGAAACCAGATCCATTAGCAATAGCCTTATGAACAAGTCAAAGAACAGCCAAGGTAGAAGTAAAAAGGTCATAAAAATATATTTCGCATCAAATCGTATAGTGTTGTAATTCCATGCCAATGCAATTGCTTAGACTGACTGATATAAGCCATGCCCACTAATATACGACTCGTTAAAGGCTTGCAAAAGCTACAGTTTATTTTAAACAGATACCCAGATATGTCAACGATGTAAGTGCACAATAGTTTATTTGTTGTACATAAATTCAAATTTAAATATTAAAAAATATGTACATTGGCACATCATATGACTTGCCAAATTAAAAACAATACATGTAATTACAGCATCCTACGCTTTCAAAATATGCTTCCTCGGTTCCTCAGTGCAAATTAGTAACATATATCTTACACATTGCGCATGATCAGATGCACTGGCACATATGCAAGATTTATGATGTGGAAATGCAAATCCTTGTAACAACATCGCTATTAGATGTGATGGTCAATTTGGACGAGACTGGCAATCGGACAATAGAGTGTATAGTTCACCAGCGATCCAGGGGGAGGGGGGGGGGCTGTCATGATTAATTTATTTTGTTTCCATGCTACTTAACTTTTATTTTATGTTAGTGTAGAACGATTGTTCATTTAACCTTGTTGGCAATCGGTCTCTTGCCCCCAGCATAGTTATTCAATTCCCAGGTAAGGGAATACAGTCTTTGGCTTTATATTCATCCATCCAGTGTATCAATAGGTTTTTCAGTGGGGTCATAGTTAGTCAAATTAAATCTTTTGTTGTAATAGGGACTTTAGGACTTTATTGAACCATATGCAATGTGAAAGAGATTACACTGTACATTATGCTTTTTTATTCTCGGTATGCTTAGACTTAGGCGTAGTCCCACATTCGACTTAGGCGTAGTCCCACATTCCGGCCAGAACACTCATTAGACACCAGATGCGTATGACCTGTGCGCCCTTTTAGATAGTTGTATTTAGATTGAAGCTGACGTTTTGCTATTAAAGATATTTTGACTTCGTGACTTTGTGCCAGTTTGGCACCATTTGCTTTCCGAAGCTTTTCCTGTGTGCACTTTGACAGTTGGCTGAAATTTCTGTGTGAAATTTTGTGTCAGTATTGGTTCCCTTTAATGCCAGTTTGGGCATCTTGTGTGGAGAAATGTTGGACCAGGCACTGGGCAAAGACACTAAATGAACCGAGAAGAACAGAACTGTAAGCATAATTTCATTTGTTCCCATTTGCAAAGATGTATTGCTAGGGAATTATTTATCAATTTGATTGCGATTATGAAATAATGTGTGGTTGAATCTCGGTTTATTCGTTGTTATTGAGAAATTGTTAATCGAGACCTTGAATTGCCAGGATGAAGTTGGAATGATGATCAGGATTTATAGAGCCAGAACTCATAGTTTTAAGCTTGGAATTAGTTTCAAAGAAGTTTGGGATGAACTAAATATTAGTGCCAACTGTTCATTGTTTTAGAGATTGAGGTTGCTATATTTCGGGTTATATATGTTTATACTTGGATGGCCAAGTACTTGAGTGACTAACTGATTGACAGAACTAGGCAGGACTCATTGAGCCGACCGCAGGCTATAGGTTCCTGAGACCTCGATTGCCAAGGACAGGTTGAAGTTTTCTGCCAGAGTAGAATATTTAGATTTTAAGTAGTAGCGCCGCATATTTCACGGATTCAAGGAGAATGCAGTATTTGCTGTTAATCGTATCATTTGATTGAGTATCATAGATTAATCATTGATTTGATGCTGGGGTTTTCGATGGCGTTTTATAATTCTTTATTTGTTCTTTAATTCGTCTGAAGTAAATTCTTATATGTTTAGATTTTATGTATAAGTGCTTTTTTGAGTGCAAATTGGGAAGGGGAATTTCACTTTTAGTTGTTTTTGCTTTAATTGTTCTAATATTAAGTGTTTTAATTGTAAAAAATAAAATATCGAAAACTGAATTGAATTGATGTGACAGCACATTTAATGTTGGATTTAAGAGTACATGTGTTGTATGTAAGCTTAGTAACTAGTTTCTCACTTTTTGGGATTTGAATATGATTTTCTGAGACTTAAAACCTTATCATATTTTAGACGCATTAAGAGAGTTTTGGATTTACATTTTGTTTTCAATTTGTAACTTGATTCAGAGATTCTGCATCACATATTTTAGTAAAAAAAGGGAAATATTCAATCTGGTACGTATTTCACCTACCTTGAAGCTTGAATTACTCGTTTTAAACATACATGTACATATATTTTGGGAGAATATTTGATTGCAGTTCATTTTATGTGAATGTAAAGACGATTCTTTGGGTTGTTGTCAATCAGATTATTTGAAGGAGAAATTGAATTCTGTTTGTCCTTTATTTTGTGTATTTCTTGTACGGCTCGAAGCCGTGTCATTATAAGGTTTAATGTAATACTGTATTACGACTTCGGAAAAACACGACGTACAAAGAAAAACACTAATTCAAAATTATGCTAAAAGTTGCTTGGTGTTGATGTCCCTTTCATGATACGCTGTGTGCATCCGTGTGTGCAAAGCGGGTCGCAGTTCGCAATCTGCAAATAAAAAAAAAATCTCGATTTGCCCAACTACTCAAAATTTTTAAGTTGCTTGGTGATGGTGTTTCTTTTAGGATACATTTAGTGCATCCAATCCCGTGTGTGCAGTGAGGGTCGGAGTTCGCCATCTTTAAATAAACAAAGTTCACCATTTGCCCAAACTAATCAAAATCTTTATCTAAGTCAGTGGAAACCCGGACATGCATAAATGTCCATCAAACGGATTATCGTCTACACAGCTGCCCAGATACCACGGATATTTGCGGATTTCAAAGATTGCTCGCAAACAATGTTCCATTTATTACATTGTATTAAGATGTATACATTTTGTTACAATGTATTCTTACTTAAAGAGTGGTGAATTCGAATTTGATATTGTGACAATATTGGACAGGACAAATCATAAAGCAACTATTATCACATGCTGTCGTTGAAATACTTTAATTCTGGAAAAGTCTGCATCTGTGTTGTATAGCTATTTAAACAGTCAAAAAATAATTAATACCCCTCCTGGGAAAATGGCTCCCCTGTACAGTAACCAGATAGATTTAACTGTTCTTATAGTAAATCCGGGTTAATTGATAACTGGTAGTTCATCCAGTTTATAAGGGGGTTGGAATTCCAAAACCCGTGTTTAAAGTAGAAAACGTGCAGGAAAGTGCAATACCCCGGTCCGTCTGCAAGATGGGTGGTTTGCTTCAGGCTCTGCTAGTTATAGTCTTTCTTCAAGGATGCCACTGTGGGGAGGTCCGCTCGTCCCATGTCAGAGATTTAACTTTATCTGTGAAGGCGGCTGAGTCTCAGGTCAGTGTCCAGGATCTGAAATACCATTGTGCATTAACATTGGTTTTCCGAGTTTTATTTCGATGTATCCTGATGCATTCTTGTGCAGGAACACATTATATGAAATATTGTTGGGACAGGCAAACCTAAAATCTGCAAAACGTAAGCTTTTCACTTTAAAAGACATTCATTGCTTTACCCGTTACTATTATATTTAATTGAACCGGCCTGCTGACTATAAAGCACTGTTAGCACGGTGTCGAGTGGCAATCCAACCTGGGTAAACTTTGTCTTTGTCTAGTAAACCCTTGAATAGCATAGAGTACACAGTAGGCCTATTTTTTTGTTATAAACATAACGTCAGTAGAGGGCAAAGTCCATAACCCAATATTGGTGACCCGCTCTGAAAAATAAATAGTCTGATGTCGCATAATTTGAATTCAAGCTTGTGAGATTCTGAAATGGAAACAGTGAAAATTTGATCAAAATTGAGATTTTTTGGTTTTGGTTATATTTTGGTTGTTTGTCTTACAGAATTATTAACAAAATTTGGATTGTTGGTTAGTTATAGTATATTTGTCATTTTTCAAACCCTGTTGTCTCCACTGAGACTTTTCTAGTTTGTGTGGAAATTGACAGAATGAAACAAGCACAGCAATGCAACCAAATGTCCCAAACAAAGCTTATAAACGTAGTTACCTCAAAACGTGAGTTTTGCAATATCTGACTCATTTTTGTCAGAGCGGGTCACATTTAAACATTTCTTTCCACAGGACACTGTTGATGTGTCACCTGGTCAGCATGATGAACAACCCGCCATTAAGTCGCTGCAGTGCTCGGACTCTGGTAAGCTTCTTTTTCTCTTCACTTCAGATTATTGTTTTTGTGTATAGTTAAAAACATCCCTTCTACTATTCTACTCTCATTCCATTGGAGAGTAACAGCTCTTTAACACTAACCCCCTATACATACAGCTAGCCATTACCCCTATTACACCGGAGGTGCGGTGCCATTGCGGTGCTTGTACGGCATAAACCGCAGTGGCACCGCCATGATTGCCGTGGTTTCGCAGTGGTTCCGTCATTGATCGCCGTAGCACCGCGGAAAACTGTCAAAACCGCGGACCTTCGCGGTGGCCGGGCACGGCGTAAACTTTGAACATGTTCAAAACTTCCGCAGTGCCACCGCGGGTTGGGCAAATCCGCAGTGGGATCGCCGCGGCACCGCCATGACCGCCGTGGCACCGTACAAGGACCGCGGTAGGACCTCTATCACCGCCGTGCCTCTGCAGTACAACCGCCGTGCAATCGCGAAGGTCCGCGGTTTTGACAGCTTTCCGCGGTGCTACGGTGATCAATGACGAAACCACTGCGGAACCACGGCGATCATGGCGGTGCCACTTCAGTTTATGCCGACCGCACCTCCGGTGTGACGGGGGTATGACGGGTTGGGGGAAAACTATGAAAAACTACTGCCGGTGTCACTACGGTGATGGCGGTTTTGACCAAAAACGGTAGTGGCACCGCGCCTCCGGTGTGACGGGGGTATAAGTAAGAAATATGTGTCGTCGTACCGAAGGATACAGACACCGCAATTCAGGTGGCTGCATTCGAACCCATAACCTGAAGAATTATTTCTCAGGTCGATTTACAGGTCAATGAGACTGTAGCACACATTGCACTATAACAAAAACCTGACTACACTTTGTGACGTGATAAGTTTGCAATATACAGTTAATAAGATGGATGACGTTGCACAAAATTGGACAAAAATGTATCTTTTTTC